CGTACGGGAGCGGCTCGTCGTAGACCACCACATTGGTGGGGAACGCGTCGAGCGACGCGGTGTCGGAGTCGACCAGCATCGGGTCGGTGGATCCTATGGACTCCAGGTCCGCGGCAGGCTCACCGGCGACGTGGAGTTGGCCGACGAGGCCCGCGAGGAGGCTCTCGGGGCCACACGTGCCTGCATCGGGCGCAGGCTCGTTGGAGAGGCAAACCTCGCCGACAAGATCGACGAGGCAACTGGCTGCACAGGCAATCTCAGCGCCACGTAGCGCATCGGCACAGACGCCGTCCGGCGTGCCGGGCTGGCTGTGCTCGCCGGGGAGGAACAGGGTTCCCGTCCAGAGCAGATCTCCGGACGACGGTGCACCTCGCCCCACGGTGGGCGCCAAATGTCGGGGGTTGGGTATGACATATGCCAAAGGATGGCTTATCATGGTGGGAGCGAGTAGAACGTCGTCGGTGCCTGGAAGCGGGATGAGGCGAAGACATGCACGCCGGTGGAACTTACCCAGCTTCAGGGCTCTCATAGGAGATAACACCCCTACTGCTGCTCTGCGGGGTCTCCGCATGATCACTAAAGCAAAGTGACTACAATGGTGCTCCTGGAGCTGTTTCGGGAGGTAGGAGAGGGCGAGGCTAGCTCTCTCCTTCCTGGGCTATCTGGTCTATCTCTCTCTCTCTGGGTCCGAACCCTTTGCATGGGTGCCCCGGGGGGTTTATATAGGCCTACCCCCTGGGGGTACAATAGTAATCCGGCTGGGCGCGGGTCCCAGCCGTCTGTCTCTCAGGCCGCCGTCCTTCCCGTCGGCTTCTGGGGCCCGCCGACTGGCGGGTCCCGTGAACAGGCTTGATACTGTAGCGGCACTCCTGATGACGCATGCTTGGTCATCGGGTCGTGGCAACAGTGCCACCGTCTATCGGGCGATCACTGTCGCCATTCCCCATCTTATCTGATTAATGGCTCGTGGGGCCTGGGAGGAGTCGGCCGACTCCAGGGAGGCCGACTCCCACGGGCCCGTCTTCGGGTTGCCCAGGCCGGCTTCGGCCCACCCACTGACAGGCGGCCCCGCCGCCTTCGGGTCGTACAGGCCGGCGTCGTGGGCACAGTGTACCGCGTACTGTGGCTGAGGTCAGGGCAGGCATGGCAACAGTGTCATATCTCGCCGTAGATCTTCCAGCGGTACGGCTTACTGTAGCCATGCCGGCCCTCCGCAAGCAGGGGGGAAACGGCCATGCCGTAACCGTGCCCCGCGTCGTACTGGGGATAAGGGAGGAGTCTTGGGCCGACTCTCCACAGTCGGCCTCCCTGGAAGTCGCCAGCTTGGAGTCGGCTTATCTGGGAGTCGCCGCCTGGGACTCGGCATATCTTGGAGTCGCTCCTGGGACTCGGCCTGAGGGGCGCGGCCGGCCCCGATGTCTTAAAATGTCCTGGGCCTCGGGTTAGCCTATCTGTGGCCCATTACTCCGACAGTGTCCGTGTGTTGCAACGGGATATTATATTTATCTTCTTCAGCGTCTACTATATTATCCGTCTGTCTATCCACGTCCCATAGGAATACAAGCTTAATTCTCCCTCCTTTTTTTACTCTTGCATGTCCATGAATTTTATCACAGCTCCATCTTTTATGTGTTTCCACTTTGCTCACCATTGCTCATGGGTGTTGTCACTTGATACGGAACAAGAAATTTATGTATATAGAAAATAAGTTCTCAGGATTGTAGCTATACAAAGCACCATTTCCTTCTCCATTATCCGCCTCTGCCATTACTCACTTTGTTGCACAATTTTAACTGTAACCATAAATTTCTTGTAGTGAAAGTTTATTGAATATCATAATTACCAAGTTGCAACTACTACAAAATGGTTTTAGCTACTAATATAAGACCTTTTGTCAATTATATTTCAACCTACACTAGTTAAGTATTACTCCCTCCGTCCAGAAATACTTGTCGCACAAATGGATAAAACTGGATGCATCTAAAACTAAAATATGACTAGATACATCCATTCCTCCGACAAGTATTTCCGGACGGAGGGAGTATTTCTCTGTGCTCTTACTAAGCCTACAAAAACAAAATACACAAATAGCAAATCTAAGTATGCTCTAGATATTCATCATGTGAGACAATAGGTGAAAAAGACCAGCAAAGTATCATTCCAGAAAGAAAAGATATCAACATCGGATTTGAATCTTTCACATTTTATCACAAAGAAAGACTGCTAAAAACACACTTCCAGTGGATGTGGCACAAACAAAAGGGACCAAGCAGGACTGAGTGCAAGTCTCGTCTTCTTCATCTGCATAGATTGATAATGTCGGGTCTATGTACAGTTGATTACACTTGAACTATCTTGTATGGGTAAAAAAACATTATTCAGATCTTTTTATTTTATAATTAGCGTGTGAATTTTCTTGGGGTGGGCAGTTAGTATAGGTATATATTCGGTAAGGATTGGGGTGCAAATGATGCAAATTCACATGAAGTTTAATATAATGCAAGTAAAAGTTGTATAGACTCACAAAATAATGGAACTTTTTGTTCTTCAGGCAAGCTGGAATGTTCTTGCATCAGCAGTGAATGTGTTGCTACCCATAATATTGATTTTAATTTTAAAAGAAATAATTAGACATCAAAATAAACTCATGAAATAATAGCATGACAAATACCACAATTGAGAAGTACGCTACATGGTCTCTCCTACAATAATTTTGTGATATTAACTGAGCTTAATCATGAGTTTCACATATCTCTCTCTTGGTCAGAAATAGTTTTGTACTCCCTCCGTCCCATAATATAAAAGATCATTTTGCAAGGTGTTTTAGCTTGCAAAATGATCTTATATTATGGGACTGAGGGAATAATTTACAAGATCGTCAAACTTACATCTTTTTTACTGCATGTTTGGTAGTTGGACATCTGTTTACGAAAGGGAAGGTAGCATACTTGTGGCTGCACAAACAATTATGTTGTTTACATCGAGCTAAAAGAATGATGGATTTTTTTTTTACTTGCTAGACTAAAAGATCGATTGAAAAAATATTTTTCGAGTTTAACTCTTTATCAATTTTACCTCGACAAAGAGGCAGATCATTAATTTTGCAACCAACATTTCATTTGCATGGTACTCGGCAATCTGGACCGATGTGAATCCTATATCCCATCAATTGAGTTTTCCACGAGAATCTATCTGTGACTGAAGTCCCGCGTTGCTATCTGAACTGTGTGCTACCACAAGTGAAATCCACCTCGAATTACCTATTTTTGGATCGCATTGATGCGCAATGGTTGTAGACACAATCCAGTCTTCTACTGATGAAATATTGAACCAATGTTAGTAATTCTGTTAATGTTAAATACGCATAAGCAAAATATCTATCAAAACTTCAATGATGACATGTCTGCAACATTCTTGAATTTGCATTACTAAGTACTCCCTCCATCCCAAAATAAGTGTCACTAACTTTGTACTAAATCAGCGGCACTTACTTTGGGACGGAGGGAGTATATACAGAGCTGAAGTTTAACCAAGAACATTACATCATTGCATTTCTTCACAGAATTAGCCCACCGCTGTGATTACAATGCTAATTGTAGTAAATTTTAGATTCAACTATGCTATACTCCCCCCCGTCCCAAAAAGCTTGTCTTAGATTTTTCTAAATATAAGTGTATCTAGACATGTTTTAGTGTTAGATTCGTCCGTATCTAGATAAATCTAAGACATACTTTTTGGGATGGACGTAATAGAACTGAAGGTGCCTACACCAAATTTCTCCAAGATTTCTGAAGACAGCAAAAATAAGAAAATATTTGCCCTAAGATTTCTCCAAGAAATGCATACCGGGAGCAAAATTAATTAATTGATGTAGATGACTTTAATCTTCATGTAAGGTGGATCAACTGCCATACAGGAGGGTACAGGTACATGCTCATAAACTTGGTTGATGTTGCCGTGGCTAATCTAGCCTTATTTCTTGCCTCTGGTTTCTATGAACAAGAAACCAACAAAACTAAAGTTTACTTTAATATAAAGTTTTAGCTGCAGCTAGAAAAGAGCCGACATGCTCTTGTACATTTAGTCGACGGACTTTAAAGAAAAATCATGGATAAATGAAGAAGTTAGATCTGGCCATATGGTGCAAGAAACAATTAGTTGAGCGAGACAAAAGCTTAGTGATGAGAAAGAATACATTGGTATTGAAGACAAACACCATGGAAGCCTTAACAAATCTACTCTTCCACCCTTTCGGAGGCCGCGCAAGCACAGACCATGAGAACTCCAAGAATCTTGAACCCAGCTCATGTACAACTGGAGTAGCTGCTGCACTCGTAGTCCTGCTGCGGTGCCACTGTTCGATGCGCTAGGAAGCAGGTATAAATGAAGGTCGTACATGACATAGAAGACGGCGAGCTACATCTTGCATGTACAAACGAGGGCGACCTAGGCTTGTGTTCGACAATGCAGTTCTTGGTTGGTGTGTCCGATAGCGACCAGGGTAGTGATGCGAGGCGGCGATGACTAAACGCGATAGTAACCCTAGCTGGTCGCGCTCGCTCTTCACGAGAGGAAGAATAAATCAGATTGGGTCGAGCGAGTCGATGAGGCTGGTAAGAGAGCGGGCGGGTCCACTTGTCGGCGAGAATTTGGTTGAGAGAGGAGGAAGCGACACACGAACATGCGACTAGACGTACCATGACCTACCATCACAACCGCACTCCCCTTTGATAGTAAAAGATAGTAAACATAATAATAGTTTCTTCCTTCTGAGGTTCATGAGCTCCATGAGCTCGTGAACAAGCGAAGAATCTCTATTGCTGGTTCTTTGAAGGCATTGGCTAATATCCTTTATTTTCATATGGCGGGATGGTACTTCCAATTGGTACAATCATTGTTGGATTTGATGGAATCGTGAGTGGCCCTTTGACATATTTTAGTGTCGTTAAGATGTACTTAGGTCTGCTTAACAATTCTGCTCTTTTTCTAGGATCCGGACTTGGTACTATGTTTATAAGCGAGGGTGCAAGGCTCAAGGGAGGCCGGTTCTCTAACTCTCTGTATGCTTATGCTATCTTTGATGAGGGGTATGTTCTTTTATACCTCTATATGTTGCTTTCTCACTGTTCATATTATCTTGAAGTTGCATCCCTTATGTTTGTGTTTTACATTTCAGTTACAAATTCAACGTGTTAGTTGAGGAAGCTACTGAGTTAGCATGGCTGGCTTTTATCACGCAACATTCCGTGATGGAGCCAGTGGTGGTTGTATTCGTATTGGTATGCATTCTATTTTGTAGTATCTATCCTAATATTTGTTTTGTTCACTCGATAAGCATAATACATCATGCATGCATATTTGTTAAACACCTTATCCTTATATCTTCCTTTTGAAATCTCAAACACAATTGTTTATTGAGTTACAATTACTTTCATAAGTTTTTGGCAAAGTTCAAAGATTATTGTATTTTCCATCATGTAATGCACACCCCTAGGTTGGGAATAGAGATTATCGTCTAGACGATGGTGATAAATTAAACCACACCCTTCTGTTTTACAAATGTACAGTGTTGTAGAGTATAGACATGGGTCTAGACATCTAGTGAGACCTACCTAGGATTTCTAAAACAATATAATATAATGGTTACATGTAAATTACATGCCTAGATTTATTCCCTTTTTCATACGACTTACATGTTAGTAGATTCTAAAAATATGGTGTGATGTGTAAAAAGTTATGGTCAATGCTATGTCTAGTGTTTGTGTCAAATTATTATTTGAATGTCAGGGTTGAAGTTTATTGAGAAAAATAAATAATCATTTGGGTTTGATAGAGTATGACTATATCCCACTTGGTCGTGTTATGCAAACGTGGCCCACTTTGGAGAAGAATACACTAACCATTTTGGTAGTGAGCCTAACTCATTTCTACATGGCCCACTTTGGAGAATACGCCAACCATTTTGGTAGTGAGCCTAACTCATCTCAACCATTTTGGCCTCGTTCCCCTAATACGCTAGACTATTTCTCTTATTCACTTCACGATTTGAGAGAGGGAATGCCAGCGCTAGCGAGTTTGCCACCATCTGAGCCGCGGCAGCAATGCCGTAGAGCATATAGTGGAGGGTAGAGTTGGATGGTGGCGTGCCGACGTTGCAGGAGGAGGTGCACTCGTACGGGCACTGCAGTCTGGTTCTTCTTCCAAGCAATCAAAGAAGCACTAGAAATGCACAGTAAGCAGAAAGTGAACGATGATCCAAGGGATCACTAGCCTACATAGCATCTCAATATGCATGGGAGCTGTAATGAATGGGAACTGGGAAAGAATATACAATGAGGGATCGTGCCACAAATATATCAAAAAACACAAGAAGATAACTATAGTGAACCGAGGTGGGGGCAGAGATGAACTGACTCAAAATATGGACATGATAGGAGATATCCGGGCGAGTGATAGCTAGAAGACTCCCAACAAGATGATTGTAACGTGTCGGAGCTGGCAAAGGGTCACCAGCAGTAGCACGGAGATTGAGCTACATGAGAGTCAACGGTGCGCTCATCAGTAAGAGCAACACGAGCAAGATCCTGGATTACTTTTCTTGACCAAGAAGAGACCTTACTCCTAAGAAAGTAGCAAAGTAGGCCAAGATTAGACATAAGAAAGTGCTCACTAAGACGTGCCTTCACAAAGGCAATATACTGCCGATGGTGAACATGTCATCAACTTATAGAAGTAGAGTCCGACCAATAGCAGAAAGGTGGACAAACAATGCAAGATCATGAGCACTCACTGAAACCAGCGACAGCCACCATAGAGGCAAAATGCTCAAACCAGTCTCGAGGGCTTGCTTCAGGCCATGGAGAGCGATGAAGACGACAAAGCATGTCGTAAGGAACAAAATAGCGGTGGTGGCTGCAGGTAAACCTCCTCGCGTAGCTCACCATTAAGAAAGACATTCTTAACATCAAGTTGAGATACAGATAAGTGGCGAATGTGCGAACAGTGGTCATATGGTTCACATGAGCAAAGTCTTATTGTAATCAAGACCATGCTCCTCCTGAAAGCCACGAGCCACAAGACGAGTTTTGTAACGCTCAACAGAACCATTGAGCCATCAGAGCGAGTCTTAACCTTGTAGACCCCTTACAAGTGACAGGACGAACACAAAGAGGAAGACAAACAAGATGCCATGTGTCGCTACGCTCAAGAGCAACAATCTCCTCTGCCATCGCAAACTGCCATTTCGGATAAGCAACAACATCACGAAAAAAAATCGGCTCAAGAACAGCAGCGCGAGTGCTTGAAAAGTCAGGGCGGTCAATTGGCAGAAACGGATGAGAAGGCAAGCCGTAAGTAGGCTAAGATAGGGAAGATGGCACATCAGTAGACACATGCACAACACGCAGTCAATGAGTATACAAGTGAGGAAAAGATGGATGACCCTGAGGAGGAATCATCGGGGTAAACTCAGGTGATGGAGACGAAGAAGCCACTGGTGATGATGTAGAATCCTGTGATAAGTGAGGTCAGGAAATCACAGGAGATGATGACGTTAGATCTGTTATAAGCGGAGAAGCGAATGGATAAGGGATCAATAGGAATGATAGGAGGGTCGAGAAAATTGTAGAAAGAGATATCCTTCACTGAAAAGGTCAAGGAAGATGAATGCGTGTAGAAGGGACGAGACTAATCGAAAGTCGTATAGCGAGAAATAGGCATCCGTCGATCGGCGTGATCTCAACAATACGCTCATTGCGATATCCTAAGAAGACACTTAAAAAACCGAGAAGTTAGTTTGGTGCGTTCATGAGGGGAAAGAAGAACATAGCAAACACAACCAAACAATTGAAGTGCTAAATAAACAGAAAACAATCAAAGTGACGCTCCAAAGTAGCGCCACCCCGTAGGGAAATGGATTCCTGAAGGTTGATGAGATAGATGGAAGTGGAGACAGACTTGACTGAGAAGTACGACGAAAGATAGAGCAGTGACCATCAACTAACGAGCCGTCTCAAGAAGGCAATGATGATTGCGCTCAGCCATGCCATTCTGAGCATGAGCACCAGGATAAGAGAACTGAGCAAGAGTACCCTGCTCAGCAAGGACTCGAAGCAAGAACTTGGAGATGTATTCTCCACCAGAGTCATCACAGAATACAAGACTAGGCGTAGAGAACTTAGTGAGAACCATGGCATCAAAACACTTTTATAGATAAGACATGACTACGAGAAGAAATAAAGTATATCCAGGTGTGTTGAGAGAAGTCATCTATAAAGATTGTATACTAGCGATGACCTCCTTTTGAGGCAAAGGGAGATGGACCCCAAACATAAACTAGAACAATGCCGAAAGGATGCTGAGACACTGTCTCGCTATGAGCATAAGGTAACTGTACCTCTTTACCAAGCTGACAACCCTGGTGGTTTAGAGACACCGTTGGAGACGGATCCAAGAAGACCACGTCAAACTAAGGATGAGAGATGAGAGCCACACAAGTGACTCCTGGCGATGATGCCACTGCTGAAAACAGATGGTAGACAAGGCAACAGAGGTGGAGAGACTGGCTGCGGTGGCAGCAGAGTTACTTGGTTCAGCATCCCACGTGCATGTGCACTCTCCGTTACTTGCCGATTCGGCTTGGTGTGCTTCTCCTGTTTGCGGGTTGTGTGGCACGCACTTGATTAAGCACCCCACGTTCTCCTATTGTGCACCCTTGGCCCTGGCTTTAGGTAGCGCCTGTCCTCGGCCTACCGTGCATAATCCAGGTACGCGTCGACTGTCCAAGCTCCTTCTCACCATTGGTGTTGCTTGAGTGTGCGGTTATGGTGTCGCCCAACAAGGGAGCACGGGATGTGGGATTGAGACAGTTCACATAGCAATCCGCAGCAAGGCAAAGGATGCCCATCTAGACTGGCAGGGAGCGGAGGTGGACACAAAGGTGGATGTTGAGTCTCAATAGTGCGCTCATCAGTAAGAGCAGCACGAGCAAGAAGATCCCGGATATACTTCTCTTAGAAAACAAAGAAGCCATCAGAGGTAGAAGAAACCTCATTCTCAAGGAAGTAGCGGAGAGGACCAATATCCTACATGAGAAATTCACTATGACGAGCCTTCACGAAGGCAATGTAAGAGTTGTCCCTAGTGATGGTCGACATATGGAGCAAGTGTCAGACCACAAGTTGGTTGGTGGATAGAATGTGCAGGATCATGAGCACTCACTATAAACAAGCCGCATTCACTGCTGAGATGAAGCACTCAAACCAGGCACACGAGGGGTTTGCTTAAGACCATATAGGGAGCGATGAAGACAAGAAACCATGCCATCCGGAAGAGAATACCCAGGTGGTGGCTACATGTAGGCATTGTTGACATCAAGTTGAGAGATAGGCTAGTGGCGAACGGAAGCCACAACGGAAAGTGTGCGAAGAGTGGTCATCTGGGCCATACAGGAGCAAATTTCTAATTGTAGTCATGACTTTGTTCTCACCACTAGAAGAGCTTCGTAAAGCTCAAGAGAAACATCAGTCTTACCCTTGTAGGCCCACTTACAAGTGATGTGACGAGCAAGAGGAAGGGAAATGAGATTTCACTTAGCTGATGCGGGAAGAGCATTCAATGCCATAGCGAGCTCAAAAGCCAATAGTAGGCTGTAGGCTAATCTGGAGGTGATGTGTTGCCAACAGAAGAAGACACAGTAGTCGAGGAAGATGACTCATTAGAAGAATCCACAACATGCGGACAATTATTGTAGTAAAGTCAAGGAAGATGAGCAAAAGAAGGAAGATGAAAAGAGGAAGTGCCAAGAGTGACTCGATTATCAATTGGTAGGAAGTTCCATTTGAGTTCCGTTTGACAGTAGAAACATGAATAGGGGAATCTAGATGTGGAATACTCAAGTGGCGGCTGCACGTAAACCTCCTCACACAACTCACCATTAAGAAAGACATTCTTAACATCAAGCCGAGACGCAGACCCGTGATGAATAGAGGCCACAACAAGAAGTGCGTGAACAGTGGT